GTGTGTGTGTGTGTGTGTGTGTGTGTGTGTGTGTGTGTGTGTGTGTGGATAATTGGTCATCAATGTGAGCGTGTGTGTTGATGCATGCTTTCTAAAGGTCAGTGGTTTAGCTAATGAACCCCAACACACACAGAGTGATAATGTCAGTGTTTAGTGTCTGTGCTAATGCTAACCGTAAACCGCTGCAGGGAAGTAAAACAATGATGGAGTGTGTGTGTGTGTGTGTGTGTGTGGGTGTGTGGGTGTGCGGGTGCGTGGGTGTGCGTGTGCGTGTGCGTGTGTGCATTGGATCATTTAAACTGTGAAATCACATCAGTGTGACGAGTTTTCATGCTCTCATTTACATCAGTGTGTGTGTGTGTGTGTGTGTGTGTGTGTTTGCAGTAACAGAGATGAAGGTCACACACTTTGAGCCGTTCTTATATTCAGCGCTGCAGCTTCTCATCCATCGTTGTTAGTTTAACCTCTGAACCTTTATTTATTAAATGTCTCAGTGTTCTTTGTTGTCCTTCTCCTCTGGTTGTATAGAAGTCTATGAGAAAATGACTCTACTTCTCTCTTGATTTATTACCTCAGTAAACATTGTAAACATGAGTTTATGGTCTCAATCTCTAGTTTCAAGTCTTCTTCAACACAGCATGATGTTCATTTAGTACATTATGGTCCATTTAGAGTCAAACAGACCATAAAGCAGGGGATGCTTTAGGGCGGGGCTACACGGTGATTGACAGGTCTCTACCAGAGACGTATACGGCGTCTCTACGTCACTCCTCCTTAGTCCAGATATGGTCACTTCCTGTTCACTGGTTGCACAAAAAACCAACATGGTGACGGCAAAATTGGAGAACTCCAGTGTTGAAAACGTCCACAAACCAATGAGCGACGTCACGATGACTACGTCCACTTATTTTCAGAGACATAACAGATGTTCAGGTTCGCGGAGGAGCAGCTCTGATCTCAGACCTGTTCATGTGTTGTGGCTCTGCGGGGGGCCTCGGTGGATTTGTTCTCCCCCGTTGAGTTTCATCGCATGTTCCCTTCTTCTCCTCATTGCAACACGCTTCACTCATGTAAAATTCATGGTGAACACGTCTCTCCACTTTCAACGCTCTGAGTGCTCTCGTCGCTCGTTGTTCGTCTGCAGGAACAAAACCCGCCGAGACGAGTTCATTGTTCCAAAACCATCCGAAACCTGAACGTCCGACACGAGAGGAGTTCAGTCTGAAGACATCAGGAAATAAGAATAAAGGGAGGGAATTGAAAACTGTGTCTGATAAAAGATTTAAAAAACGAGGATTTAAAATACTATATGCAGCCTGGAGGAACAAGAAGAAGGAGAAAGAAATCAACATGACAAATGGAGACAGGAGGAAGGAAACTGAAAATCAGGGAGTAAAGGAAATGAAAAGTGAATAAATGTCCCGTGAAGTCTCCACAGCTCACGATGATGAAATGCCTCCCTGCTGCTTGTTACAGTAAAACTGTATTTCCTCTAAACGCTCACTGACGTCACCGTGTTGCATTAAACAGAAGCCGACAAACCAAATGATCTGCACACTCAACCGAACATGAGAAACACAATATATGTCGAGGCCGACTCGCTCTAAACTCTGCTGTGATACACGGAATACTACTCCGTAAATACTGGTATAAATACACGCAGAATACGTTTACAATAATAATGTGTATTTGCTTAGTCTGCACTTTTCCCGGTGTAAAATGTTGGAAACGGACGTTTATGTTTTCAATTTGTTTGTTTTAATGCTTTTAAGAATAATATTGATGGATAGAATCGTTTGGAATTGACTGACAGATGATTTTATTATTCCCAGCAATGACACAACTGTTTATTTTTATCCTCATTTTGTACTTTTAAGATATTTTACTTCTAGTAAAAGTACTTATACCACAGTGTAGAAATACTCTGTTAAAGTCCTGAATTCAAAATCATTCTGAAGTAAAAGAACAAACGTATTAGCATCAAAATATACTTATGTATGCAGAATATTATATGTTACATCATGTACTGTAATTATTGATACATTAATGTGTTCATAACTTTAATGAGCTCATTTTAATGACTTTCTATACTGCTGGTAGTTTAATCTATAATAATAATTATTGTTATTTATTAGTTGATAATGTTATGTTTTCATATTCTGAATTAGTTAAGTTATCAGATAAATGTCATCCAGTGAAAAGTTTAATATTTGATAATATTGTAGTAAAGTAGAAGTATTATCTGGCAGAAAATGGAAGTACTCAAGTAAAATGCAAGTTCAGTACTTGAGTATATGTACTTAGTTACTTCCCACCACTGATTTTCCTCCTTTATTAATCATTTAAGAAAAGTGTTTTAGTTTAAGCAAAGATGTTCTGGTCAAATTGGACAAACTGTATTCATGTCCCTGTTTGATTAATCCTGTAAAATATGAAATCAAAAGTATTTCCATTGTTATCTTCACTTCACTAGATTCATGAAGAATTATGTCAAAGATTTAATGTCAGAACGGTCAAACACATCAGAAACAAGAGAGAGAAGAGCAGAGAGAGACGAGAAGAGAGAGAAGAGAAACAAGAGAGAGAAGAGAAGAGAAACAAGAGAGAGAAGAGCAGAGAGAGACGAGAAGAGAGAGAAGAGAAACAAGAGAGAGAAACAAGAGAGAGAAGAGAAACTAGAGAAAGAAGAGAAGAGAAACAAGAGAGAGAAGAGAAAGAAGAGAGAGAAGAGAAGAGAGAGACGAGAAGAGAGAGAAGAGAGACAAGAGAGAGAAACAAGAGAGAGACGAGAAACAAGAGAGAAGAGAAGAGAGAGACGAGAAACAAGAGAGAGACGAGAAACGAGAGAGAAGAGAAACGAGAGAGAAGAGAAACGAGAGAGAGAAGGGAAACGAGAGAGAGAGAGAAGAGAAACGAGAGAGAGAAGGGAAACGAGAGAGAGAGAGAAGAGAAACGAGAGAGAGAAGAGAAACGAGAGAGAGAGAGAGAGAGAGAGAGAGAGAGAGAGAGAGAGAGAGAGAGAGAGAGAGAGAGAGAGAGCTCTCAGTAAATACTGACGGTACAAAGTGAGAAGTGTCACCAGGGAGCAGTCTGCTCCTCGTTAACACCGAGCTCAGTGCTAAGCTCCACCCAGCTGGCACCTCCAGGACGCCAAAACAAACCACACACACCAACTCCCTGCAGAAACTAACGCTCCTCAGCTGTGAGAGTGTGTGAGAGTGTGTGAGAGTGTGTGTGTGCGTGCGTGCGTGTGTGTGCAGCGACCTGCAGAGCCAGATGATTGGCCGAGAGGGAGGCTTAACTCTGATGTCATCGATTGCTCAAGTTGTTGTTGATGTTCCAGTGAGAAGAGAAACATTCACATGATCTCAGTCCACCACGTGTGTGTGTGTGTGTGTGTGTGTGTGTGTGTGTGTGTGTGTGTGTG